GAACCCGATGTCTATTAAACAGCAATCGTTTGAATTGCTTTGAAATGCATTCATATCTCAGTTTATCACCGATTGGCAGATAATCGACGATTACTTCACACAAATCATCACCGAATCGGTCCATCGACTCCTTCACTGACATCTCAATCACATTTTCCCCCGAATCGGATCCAATCATCAGCTGATTATCAAACCCTTTTGCCAACAACTGTGCGCTCATTTGATCCATAATTGTCGACAATTTATGGTAACATTAATTGTATTACAAAACGCACACAAAGTCTACATAAAAGTCAAACAATTATCTCAACATTAGGCCTAAAAATAATGAAAATCCTATTTTTAAATACCCTTTCATTTGACACAACATATGACTTGCAGTTTGTTGCCAAACATTACACTACAGTTACACTGCTATTGTTAATGCCTTTCAATATAACATTTAATCACTCAAAATTATCTTGATAACTTTGTATTTTATTTTATCTACTTAATCGAGTGTCCAGTTTGTAATTAAAATCATCAATTAATATCCAGTCTATTTAAGTTAACTAAAAGTTTACTGTTAAATAAATTGACTGTATTTTCAAACAATAAAAGTCTTTCACATTATTTATGTAACACTAATCATATGTTTTTCATATGTTTTGCATTGACTGTCAATACAACAAAATTAGTAAACTTTTAATTATAATTAATTTTAATCCAAATGAAATCATTTTAAGTTTTAACTATAATTAATAATCAGACAAATATTGATAACAAATAACAGCTGTTTTAATGTCTAATTGCTTACAAACTGTGAAAACACTGCACATAACGACGAGTGGTTTACCGCAAAAACACGTGTTTTAATGATTACAAAGTGATTACAATTGAAAACATATTATAAATCATATCGCAGTCTAAGAGCAGATCCAATGAGTAAAGGGCTGACACACGAAGTGCTGGTCGAGTGCACCAGAACGAGGGCCCGACTGTCCAAACTGGTGCTCAAGACATTGTCTGAAGGGTCGGTGGCCAGGGATGTGATGATAGAGACGCCGATGTTTATGCCGGTCGGCACTAACGCCACCATCAAAGGCCTGCTTCCGCAGCAGATTGAGGGCACGGGATGTCGCCTAATACTGGCGAACACATACCACGTGGGCTGTCGGCCGGGCGTGGACACGGTCCAGAGGGCCGGCGGTATCCATGAGCTGATGCGGTGGCGGAACGCCATACTCACCGATTCGGGCGGCTTTCAAATGGTGTCTTTGAGTAAACTGTCGGAAGTGTCCGAAAACGGAGTGCTCTTCAGGAGTCCCTACGATAAGGAGAGCGACCAACAGATGCTTCTGACGCCCGAAATGGCGACACAAATGCAGCATAAGATCGGATCCAATATAATGATGCAATTGGACGATGTCGTGAAGACCACACATCCCGATGAGCAGCGCATGGAGACAGCCCTCCACCGGTCCATCCGGTGGTACGACAGGTGTCGCGTCACTCACGCCAAGGCTGTGGCCGACGATAAGACGGGCCGCCATTCCCGACAAAACCTGTTCCCTATAATACAGGGCGGACTTAACAGCGACTTTCGGCGCCAATCGGTTAAGGAGATAGTGGCCAGAGATCCGGTCGGTATAGCCATCGGAGGGCTCAGTGGCGGCGAAGAGAAGGAAAAGTTTATAGATATGGTTGCCGTCAGTACTGAGGCACTGCCGCCCAATAAGCCCCGGTATCTGATGGGTGTGGGTCTGGCCATCGATATGTTGATGTGTGTGGCCTTCGGTGTGGACCTCTTTGACTGCGTCTACCCGACCCGTACGGCGAGGTTCGGGTGCGCACTCGTTGGCTATGGCAAAGAGTTGAACCTAAGAAGCAATTCAATGGCTCTGGACTTCGGGCCGTTGGACAAGGAGTGCGACTGTAATACGTGTGTGAAGTATAGCCGCTCTTATATCCATCATCTGATGCGCGACAAGAATACCGTCGGATGTCATCTCCTCAGCGAACATAACATCCGATTTCAGATGAGATTTATGCAGAAGATTAGGGATTCAATCAGAGACGGAGTGTTCGAGCAATTCATTGGCGATAATCTTCGCTACCATTTCGGTGGTAAAGATAATTACCCGAAATGGATATCACATGCAGTAAATGAGTTGAAGCTAAATGTTTGATACAATTAATATAAATCACTAGAAAATTATCATTTCCAATATTCATTGATAAGCACCGGTAGTACGGTATTAGCATAACTCCAGAGACCAAAGGCCACCAAATAAATCAAGAATTTTTTAATTAAATTTTTTATATCCCGTCATTGATTAAAATGTAATTTATTTATAAAAACATATATATTGACGTTTAAAACCTTTTAAATAAAATAAAACATGTGTTAGAATTTGGATAATTAATAATAGTGAGTATTTTTATAATTGAGTTTTAAATATGTTTATAACAAATACTGCAGTTTTGTAACGATTATCAAGTGATTGAATGTTTGGGAAATAGGATTAGATTCTTGTTATTCTTAGCGAAACACTGTTTGTCGTCTCTATTCGGACAGTCGATTGTCTGAAGAGTCTTCCGGTCCAGACATATGTGTATTTCGGATAAAATGGGCGCTGAATCAGGTCCTCGCGGTTCCGGATATGGACTGCACTCCAGACGCACTCTACTCTTAAGTTGGCGTTCAATGGCTGCGTGAATATCATTGACTGAAAAGAGTCTGTCATTTGTGGCCAATATATCGGAACTCTTGAACCAATCCGTCAGCGGAAACGAGTCGTACAGACGGAGTGTTGTATTGAAGTACTGGAACTGATCGGCCAATTGCGGCGATCGTCGACCGCATGAGCCGTGTTTAGTCCACTCGTGGCGCCAAAACATGTCGTGATTGGCGTCCTCGCGAAGACTCATCCATTTGGTGGTCAATTGGTCGCGGATGGCGTTAAGGAGGGACGGGTCGTACTGGCCGTTCGCACAGCAGTACTGCGCTGGCGGTTGGCCGTAGACCTGGCGCTGTGGCCACAGACCGTGTATTTGCCACCGACTGTGGTCTGTGCCTCTGTTACAGCGCTGTCGTTGAACACAATAACTGGTCGGCCACTGAAGGGCTAGTATTAAGTAATCGATATTATAGTCGACTGAGCACTGGTTTGAATGGCTGGCCCGCTCTCTGGGTCTATGAACCCGACCCCCGGAGCTAAACCCTGTCTGATGTCCAAAGTCTGGTTGACCTGAAGTGTGTTTTAATACTAGCGTTATATTAATTATTATTAAAATTAATATATTTTGTGTGTAATTCATGATAACTTTTATTAATAGTCACGGAAATAATATAAATATAACTTGTGTGTTAAAACAAGTGTTAAATTTAAAAATATAATTAACACTCGAGATTAATATAGCGTTTAATTCACAGTTTACAGTGCAGTATATAATGCAGTGTATTATGAATTCTTTAATGAAATGCTTTTATACTAGTAATATGAATGAGAATTAATGCTTTAGTATTGATTAAAATTTATTTATCATTTATATTAAGAAATGTATTAAATGTGCTAAATATTATATACTATAAAGAGAAATAGTTAATCACAAAATGTGATCAGAATGTGATCTGAATTATTATTATTATCAGCCATTTTTTATATACATGCAAAAACAGGAATTTCTGAGCATCCCTTTCCACTTTGATAGTGAATAGGAAGGGAATTCCTTCAGAACCTGACTTTTTTGTTAACAATAAGTTAATGAGACTTTATGTGTTTTCCTATGTTGTGATTTTATTTTTTAATTATTCTTTCATAAACATTGCATTCATTTTAATGAACTCTCATTAATATCACGTTAATTGTCATTATAATTATAACTGTTCTCATAAAATATTTATTATTTATATTATTAATATTTATTATTTTTTGTGGAAATCTTAGGAAACCTGAAATATTGTCTATAGATCTTTTGAAACCTTGAGTTTATACCTGTATTATATACTCATATTATATATTAACAGAATCGCATGCATAAAATTCACTGGTTTACTGTGTACAGACCAGAACTTGTTTTAAACATACCAATATTGTTGTCCACAATACTGTAGATAAAATGTGTTTAAATGAGTTTTGATCTTTGAAAAGCAACACAAAAAGATATGAATGTCCTTTTGAACCAACAGATCTCTATTATAAAGTCTCGTAAAAACATAAATATTATATTTTAATGTAGGCTTTATGGGGCAAGTGGCTATTTAACTTGTGTAACTTAACTGAAATGAACAATAAAATTTATTTCTATTAAAATCGTTCTTATATCACATATCATTCAATTACTTTTGATATTTAGTAAATATTATTTACTCGTTAGTGAAATTATTTAAATGATATGAATTTATAATTTAAACAAAACTTGCTATAAACATTAATATCATAATAACTTCTTTCTTATATTTTCTTATATTGAAAGCATTTATTAAAACTTTTGATTAAATAAGTTTTTATTAAATATAATATATTTATTATACTTATTAAAAATGATATATTTAAACCATTGATTATTATTTTTTTAAAAATTGCTCAACTTTTAAGCAATGCTAATATGACATTGAATTTAAAGTTTAATTTATTCAATTGTAAATACAAAATATTTAGTTTAATATTTAAATATTATTGACATTTTACTTTGATTTATAAGAAATGAATTGCTGAATAATAATCACTATTTATTAAGCCTCTAATTATTTACTGCAATAATATGGAAAGTTATATTACTGTAAAAATGTCATAATTGTTTTATTGTATGATTATTATTAAGATATTCCTAAAATACGGGAAACGGGAATAAAAATATTAAAATAGGCAACACTTATGAAATCGATAAATCTATATTTGTTCGCAATGTGTACACAGATTTATATTCAAATGTTTTTATTAATCATTAATTTCTAAAAATATTGATTAATAGGAAAAATTACTTTTTACATAAAATTAAATTTACATAAAAACATTTAAATAAAAACATTAAATTTACATAATTATAACATAAAATTTAAAGAATTTTTATATTTTGACATAAAAATTTGATTAAAATTTTTAATGACTTTAAATTTACAATATATTTTAATAATTTTTAATAAAGTATATTTAATATAAAACATTTACAACAATATTTAATAAGTTGTGTCATAATTTTTATATAAAGGAAAATCAGTAGTTATTGAATAAATATAATTATTAAATAGCTTACAAAATATGAAAGCACTTACAACAGGATACGACTTGTATTGAAAGCAATCACGCGATTATA